TATATATATTATGACCTTATTGTGTTGCAAGTACCTTAAAACTCTTATCGAAAAACAACAAATACACACACACACACACACCCATTTTGATAATAGTTTAATGATTATCACCTGCCATTTTTCAAAACAGAAGCCTCACTTTTTGTGCTGTTGTTTTCATTAATAGATTAAATAAATCCTGTATCCTGTATTGACATTGTCTGTGGGTGGTTGGCGGGCATTCTGGTGTGGTTTGCTCCTTCTTTCCTGATCAATCATCTATCGTCATTATCTCCCCTTCTTCTTTCTTATGTTTGTTACTCTCTTGTGACACCTCTAATCTTCTGGCGCTCATATATGACCTTATGCAGTTGCGAGCGCCATAAAACCTCTACTAATATACGACTGACATTGTCTCAGGGGCCATGGGCCCTGTCGGCTTTGGCGACGGCCTTCTCGGAGAAGGGCCGCCTGTCGGAGGCGGGTCTCTGTACAACGAACAACTGGCCAACCAGAACCAGATGAATCAGCTGATGCTGGCCCAGACTCTGTTACAGCAGCAGGCCCTGGCCGCTGGCGCCGGTTTTGGTGGTGGTGCCAACAGCGCCGACTTGTCCGCTATGTCGGATCTGGGCGGCATGGGAGGCTTCGGTGGCGGACTGGGAAAAATGCAGTTCCTGCAGAGTCAGGGTGGCTACGGTGGAGGAGGAGGGGGGGGAGGAGGAGGAGGCGGGTTGATCTCTGACCGCAAGCGGATGGCCAGCCGAGGGCGAGACCGCGGGTACGACGTGAAGCGACGCCGACATGATTCGTATGGGGTAAGTTTTAGTGTATGTTATGTGATGTTTAGTATAGTCTGTGCAAGGGTTTTATCATGCGTTTATTTTTAAGTTGCCGGGGTTTTTTTTTCTTGAGATCAGAGTATTATATGACGACCCCGAACGATTTGGTGTTTAGGCTAGGAATTAAAGGCTTTGGACATTAGTAAGCCTTAGGTTTATTTCACGGAAGAACCAGATAAGTCGAAGTGGGCCGGGGAAAAAGTGCTTAATATTGTTTTCTAGTTGTGGAAAGTATATTGTATAATATAATTAATGAAAGTTTGTTTTTGGCATAGCATTCAATATACGCAGGATGCCACATGGGTACTGTAGTTTATAGAATTATGTAGTGCTTAAATTGACGAAATGTTACTGTGAAGCTTTGTGGCCCTGCCCTCTGTGCTCTTTCAAGACCATGGGCTATTGTTTGAAGTGGATCGGCCAATTTTTACCAAAAAATGTTCTTCTCTCTTCCACTTTTCCTTCATCCACGCCAATGTTCTCAGAAACGTTTATATTTCAGGAGGAAAATACTGACAATTATTTTTGCTTTTCAACTTGGCATTTGCAGATTTCTTGTCCTAAATGACATCTTGTCAGTACTTGTTGAGGTAAATTTATTTAAATGTGTTCCATATCTGCTGTTTCTCAGTAACAATTCCAGAAACAGTTTTTTACCAGCTGCCAGTTCTTAAAAAACTTTGAAGGCTTTTTCTCCACATCAATATAGATCTGATCAAAGTAGAAATGTTAAAGCTTTTAGCTTTTTCACTGGAGGGTTCTTGATTTTACTGGACTGAATAAATGTACAGCATTTCTTTTTTTTGGGTTTTTTTTTATTAAGGTGATAAGAAGCTAAGACTTGATTTTTCCATGAAATGTGCTTTGGGGGATGTCTTTCTCTGAGAAATTATATTATAGATGTTTGGGCTGAACAGTAACATCATTGGATAGGTAGAAGGAGATTATTATTATCTAGACCAGATTTAATGTGGCTGCCTGAAAGGAAAAGAGCCTTACGAATTAAGAAAAATGGTCACATATGTACATATCAGTTGCGCTGTAGGTGGGAAAAAAATTGGTCACATTCGTAAAAATCAGTTGCACTGTAGGTTGTAAAAAAATTGGTCACATACGTAAAAATCAGTTTCGCTGTAGGTGGAAAAAAACAACAGTTGACTACCCATGGGATCTAGAAGAAGACCAGGTTAAAACTAAACTGATCCTTTGTTTTGACCTTTAGCTCAACCCTTGTGTTTTAGTACTGTGTGTAGTCTTTTATTGAAAGTTGATTTGGAGACGGTTTTCCACTTTTTAAACCAATGTTTGTGTTGTCACTGGTGTCTTGAAATATAAAGAGATGATTCATTGCTGTAGGAGGTATGGTGAAGGTTGTTTAGCTTTCATGATTCAAGTGGTTTAGAACCTAGAAACACCTTCTGCTTCTGTGGTGTAGTGGTCTGGCACTTTGCTGTCACATGTAGCAAACCTGAGTTCTATTCTCAAGAGGGGAGAACATTTTTATTGAGTATCTCTGTCTTTCTGCTGGGATGTTTTACCCCTCTCAGCATAGGTGGACCCTGACAGGCGGGGTCGGAATCTTGCATCCTAAATGATCTAAATAGTGTGGACGGGGATGTAAAAAAAACTCCCTGCATTTAAAAAAGAAAACAAAAAGACCTCTAAACTGACTCGAAGATTGAGTTAGGTACTAGTGAAAAAAGTTGTGGCTTTGAGCAAGGCAACTGTGTGTGTATTCAAGCCTTAGTTGGCCCAGTGCAAGCAGATCAGGTGGATATAGATTGAGAATGAAATTCCACTTAGGGCCACCGAGAACTCCCCAAGGAATGCAGGGTTGTTTTGTGGGAGATGGGGGGGGGGGGGTGAGATGGCATTCTTGTGAGACAACCATACTGCATTAGTAAACGTTATGTGAACTTTACAATAACTTGTATTTGTGATTAAAGACAGTCGTAGGTTTTTTTAGTAGTAGATAAAACTTGATCTATCTACTATTTTACATAGTGGATAATTCTGCACATTTAAAGCCAGAAAAGGCAACCCAAAAACATTTCAACTTCTTTAAATAAAAAAATTTAGACCTGAGAGCTTAATTATTTTTATGTTTTTGTTTGTGTCACAGATTTGTCTTCCCTTGTGTTTTTCCATCTCAGGTTTCTCGTGAGAGAAGATAGTTCATGTTGAAGATCTTTTTTGTCATTTCTCAATTGTATGCTGGATATGCATACACACAATTCACTTCAGAAACCCAGAATGTGGGTTCGTTTCCTGAAAGTCCTCCAACTCATTCTTGATTGTGGGCCCCCCCCCCCAATTCTAGTAGAATGGTTTTTAAAAAACTTGCGTGGTGAAGGGTGAAGCTGACTGTTCAAAGATTTATCTCTCTTCCATATATACTCAGAAGTAACTTTTAGTTGCCTTCATTGCCTAACAAACAATGGCTTTCTTTGAGGAACAAGCTCTGCTGCTGAAGTTCCATTTGGCTTTTCCATTTCTTAGCAATGAAATATTTTATTAGTATTCTGTATGTGGTAGTTTGGAGGGCGGCACCACTGGTATGTCCTATTTCTTTTCTTTTCATCTACAGTTTCTGTCTGTCAGTCTTGTCTGCTTTTCTTCACACCACGCTGAATGACTGCTATTGCGTCAGCGTGCTTGTCTGACCCACTCAAGTCTCGTGTATTCTCCCTTCCTGTGTGTGATCAAGTTCACAGTTGTCTTGGTGTTGTTCAGACTAGATGACCATGTCTCATCTTCACATAAAAGTCTGTCGTTCGTGTTGATTTTGTTTGTTGTTTTTCCTGCCCAGGAAAGCTAAATCGACCACAACGTCACCACCGTGAGTCCGTGGTGCCTTAGATACTTTTTCTCCTTTTTTCAGGTTGAGACAACCGTGTCCTCCTTTTTCATTTTTGTCCATTTCATATTTTCCAACCCCCCCTTCTTGAGCCATTTCACTTTGATTTTTCTGTTGTGCAGTTCATGTCTTCTTGTTCTCGCAGCATATTTTACCCAAAATGTTGTTTTCTCCAGGATAGTTCCACCGAGGTGTCTCGTGAATATGTAGACATCACAAGCCCGTATCCATATGTGGCACGTCACAGTTCATTGCCAGCATCAGGTTATTTTTAGAATCATACCGTAGCATGCTCTCCGGTCCCGGATCATGCTGGTAGAGATGATATTGACCGTGGTGATGGACCTGTCTGGGTTTTATCCTCCCCCCTCGTTGAGATTTTCTCATTGTGTTTTGTCACATCATTATAATTATAGAAATCCCTTGTCTGGTCCCGTTGTCACATATTTTCCGCCTGACTCACCTCCCATTTCTTTTCCAGCCCTGTTATATTGTATTTCTTTCAGACATTCCCCCTCCGCCCACCCCCCCTTTTTTTTTTTTTTTTGGTTTCTGCACAGCTTTTCCAGCTATGGCAATTTTGCGTCATGATCTGAGGACGTTTTCTTCGCCACTCTGCCTTTGAGCCTTTGCTTTTTTGAGCCGATAGCAATGGGTTGAGAGAAACAGACTGGTGACTTACCTCCCGTTTTTTTACCTCTATCTATAACTACACAGAAATCTGTCGTTGACTATATCTACAAAACAAATCTCCTTCTTTCTCAAGGTCTAAAATGTGTCTGCTCTTATGACCTTGACTCTCTGTGCACTTTGCTGTCTCCCACCATCAGCCATTCTCAAATATATATATATACTCACATGTGTAGCATGTCATCGTAGTATATATTATTCTCTGCTTTCTCTTTCATCACACGTTTCTGCCCTTCTTCATGTTTTTCCTGTACACAGTCTGGCTGAAGCTGATTTTTTAATGATTTTTTCAAAATGATTACATTTTGTGATACAGCTTTTGTCCCCTTTTGATAGTCTCATCTCTCACTTCGACTTCTAAATCTTAAGATGGTATGGATCCTTGAATAATTTATCTTGATTTTATTTCTGCATCTCACTCACATGCTTCTGCACCATCTTGAGGGTTCCAGATCCCGGCTTTTCCTTTTTTTCCCCCCGACAACATTCCAGTTTGCCTGTGCTTTGTGCAGTCAGACTAGGCTAAGATACTAACTCACATTTCACCTACCCTCCCTTTCTAGCAGCCGTTGATCAACACGTGTTGACAATTTTCCGAGTGCCTTTCAGCACAGAGTGAGTGACAGCTAGCAGAGATTTCCAAGCCAAGCCTTCCTCTTACGGAACGCTCACTCACTTATCTGCCTCTTTCTCCCTTCTGCGTAATCTGACCTTGCTACCTTGTTCCTCCCTGTCCCACAGCGAAGTGGCGATCGGGAAAGATCTGGTAACCGAGATGGCGGCCGAGGTGGGGAGGGGAGGGATCGGAACCGATCCAGTCGATGGGATACAGGTAACATTTTCTTCTTCCGAGACCTCGCTCGTCTGCCTTGTTTTGTTCCAGTACAAGGCTCCTCCTGTGAGATCTTTCCTCCTTCTGTCTACACTCTCACCCCCCCCCCCCCCCCCCCCCACTCCCTCCATCTCTTCCTCTTCCTCCTCTCTTTGTCTTTTTCACTGTACCAGACTTCCAATAGTGTGTACTGAAAAGAGTATCCACAAAAACCATTGAACATGGTGTCTCAAATTCATCTTTCTGCTATGCCACTCTTTTTCCTTTTGCCTGTAGATATCTGAAGCATTTTTTTCTCTTTCTTTTCCCTGCACACATCATGCTGTTCCTGACTGTGATAAATGCGACCAGACTTATGCTACTACCCCTGAAGTCTCTTGACTTCGTTGACTTCTAAACGTAATGCTGAAAATTCTGACACTGTAATCTTTTCATAGAGTGGGGCTGTGAGTGTTCTAAAAGACACCCCCCCCCCCCAGTAGACACTGGACATGGGTGTTTACTCACTTTTCCTCACTGATCAGCAATCTATTGACTTATCTATAATCTATTGACTGATCAATAATCTATTGCTGATAGGCTTATCTCATTTCTAACTTATCATTTATTGGGATTGCCATACTCTCATGGTATTCATTACCTCGGTTAGCTTTGATTTAGTAGTAAAGCGCTTATGTGGTGGTTTTATTTCGATTGCTGGAGGCTTTTAAGTCTCCTTTTTTATGATGTCTTTTTCAACATTTCACAGTTGTTGTCTTCTTACAATGAACTTCGGCCCAAGTTGGGATATCCTGTCTTTAGGGTGTGGTGGAAAGGATGTAGTTGACACTTGTAGCAAAGATGTCCGTTTTGCTTTTGTCAATTATTTCAAAAGGCTGAAGGTGGACTTTAATTTTGAGTCCATAGAAATTACTTTTTTTTTTCTTCTCCATTTGGCAATGTTTTCTCCTCTTAGAAATGTTTCTATGATGTTGCTTTAAAAAAGTTTCTTTCTAGTGTTTTGTTAATTCTTCCTTTTTTTCCCCTTCTTTTTAATTTTGTTTTTTTCCTGTCAAAGCTGAGAACTCATTTGTTGTCATCAAGATGGCAACCATTCTTTGTGGCTCATTTTGACAAGGAAACTACTGCTGAGTGTCTCAGACCTACATATCTTATAGAAACTTTTTTTTTTTCAAAGCCTTTTTGAGTTATATTTTTGACTCATTGTTAAAGCTATGCCAAAAAATTGCTGTTTTCTATTTGAGACCGAGCGGTTAATTGCTTGTCCGCAAATCACCTTTTGTGTTCAGCAGTGCATCTCTCCCATGTAGAAAGCTATGATGTTTCGGCTTTTTTAATGTCCAGGAAAACCGTTTTGTTGAAATCCACGAAGAATGATTCTTTCAAATAGACTCATGAACTTTTCGTATCACTTCAGGGGCCCCAGTGTGGATGGGAATAGACCAGGAAAATCATGTCTACTTAACGTAGAACGAAAAAAAAAAAAGAAATGAGTGCAGTGACTTGTGTACATTTAAATCTTCAGTAGTGATGTGATGGTACATGTGTTAACTTTTGGGCATCATGTCCTCGTTTAAAAGAGTTAGACGAAATGGTTTACTTTTAGTTTAAAAAGTATGTGGCGAGGTAGTAATTTGAGTGCTGCAAACTGTTGACTAGTGTTGAAGGATTTGAATTTTTATTGCCAAACCTGACTTTGTTGGGCTGAAGTGAAATACTGTTTTTAAATGGTTTCAGGTTAGTCTCATGTTTCCGTCATAGTGTGTACAATTGTGTGGCATTAAAATTTGTGAATCACAAAGTTTTGTAAAAATATCAAAGGAAGCTTGAATGAGCTGTAATTGTTTGCATATGATTTAGCTTTTTTGTTTTCACAAGGGTTTTGTTTGGCCAACAATGTTTTAACCAGAAGTATATTTTTGAACTGTCTGCAAAAGTATTATTGATGCAGCTTTTTTTTATTTCTGCTTTCCTTCGAGATGGGCTGTGTATTATTATGAATTGGTTCAAGTGGATGAGACTTACAATCATGCTGTCCATTATGTAGAAACAAAATTAATTCGTGACGTTTGGGCTTATTCAGATCCAGTAATTCCCCATAACTAGTACTTTTTATTTTAGCCAGTGGTAATCTGAAATAGTAAGACTAGTTAATAACAAGATCACAGACTTTTTGTTGTGCCTATTGGGAGAAAAGGAGGGGGGGGGGGGGGTAAACATCTACATTAACTTTAGTAAAAAAAAGAAAACAAAACATACTTTTTGTATCTCCCACTTTTTAAGAAAAAACATATTTCCCAGTGCTGTGATGTGTGAACAATGTCATTGCTTTTCCGTCTTGATTGTGTGTGTTCCTCCCCCAGGTCGGGATGCTTCTGGCGGAAATGACTACGACCCTGCGGAGCCGACGGAAGACGATGTACGTAAAACGTGCTTTGTAGCTCTATGCTTGTTTCGTTTTTGTTTTGTTTTTTCTTCCTCTTTTGAGTTAATATCAGGTGTGCTCATAGACTAAATTTGTATCTGTGTATGGGTGGTGTGCAAACAATAGTGTGATGTCGATAAATTAGCGTAAAGTGTTTGTGGGATGTGCTGACAAAATGAATTACTTCTCGCAATCCACAAATTGAGATATGTTGGCCGAAAATCCACACAAGGGTCAGATTTGTAGATTTTCTATTGATTCTTTAACTATAACATGTCTTTTACTGTTCCCTACTAATAAATTGTAAAAACTTCACCTGTAAGCATGATGTAACTATTTCCATAGGGCTTGAATCCGAGAAGTAACTCATTTTGTCAGCACATTTCACATTTTATAATATTAATAAATTCACACAAAGTATTTGTGAGGCAGCGTGGTAGAATCAGGCTTTCGTCAAAATAATCAAAGTGAAGAAACCTGCATTTTTCCGCAGGTTTGTGAAGTTTTGTTAAATTTTTGGTTTTTGGCTCAACACCTTTCTTGCCCATTAAAGAACTCATTTCTGTGTGGATTTTTCTGAAAAACGTTGATTAAAGGCACAAAAATTGTAAATTTTCAGTTACCACAGATTCTTAAGCTAAGGAAATAACTAATCTTTGGCGGCCATTTTCTCACTAATTTTACCTCTGAAAACAGGTGACCCCCACCTCCTTCAATTGAAAATATCTCGACTTGTATTCAAGATAAATAGATATTTTTTTCATCCAAATAAAGACAGGTGAACAAGCTTTAAGATGATACCAATAACTCTACATGCCCAGAAATTGACGAGTGCCTGATTCCACCACGCTGCCTCACATTTTGTTTTCTGAACATGGTCAGTCAAAACTGGAGTCTTTCATTGCCGTTTCTAAACTGCTCCGTGCGTGCTCGAGAAAAATTTGCTGGCTGCTCTGACAGACCAACCAAGTTCTCGGAGCACTGCTACTGACTGAAGTTGTCTCTAGGCCATTATCAAAGGGTGGGATATTAACACGTTCTTATGCACAGTAAAATTGTGAATGGGCTGATTTATCAATGTCATGCTCATAGTGTGCCAGAACAACATAGAAGGGGGGAACTGCTGCTTTTTCTTTCCTTATCCTTACTATCGTCTTTTTCCTCTACTTCTTTTGCATGTTTGTCACTCTCTTGTGAACTGCTATTTCCAGGGTGCCTTGATAGTCGAAGCAGACTTTCTGCTGTTGAGGCTAGAGAAGTGAGCAGAGTAAGCCTGATTCCCCGTTTAGACTTCTCTGTTGACTTCCACCCCTTGGCGCTCATATGATCTAATGCAGTTGCGAGCGCCGTAAAACCTTACTAGTGAGTGGTTGGTGGGTGCTCTGGTGTAGTTTGCTTCTTCTGTCCTATCAAACATCTATTGTCCTTATCTCCCCTCCTTCTTTTTTATGTTTGTAACTCTCTTGTAACACCTCTAATCTTCTGGCTCTCATATGACATTATGCAGTTTGGAGCGCCGTAACACTCTTACTGAAAGTAAAAACCTTACTAAAACTAAAATCTCAAAGAAAAACAAAACCTGTTGTCTCCCCCAGGACGGGCACCGAGACAAGGACAGCAACCTGTACTGCCACGTGTGCAACGTGTCGGTGTATGACGACGAGAGCTTCCGCCGCCATCTCAACGGGACCAAGCACCAGCAGCGCATGAACAACGTGCTGACCGTGCACCAGATGAAGTCGAACCAGCTCAAGTCTCGGCTCAAAGCAGAGGAGCATCTGAGGAAAATTGAGGGGCGAGAAGGGTAGGCTGAACCAGGCCTTTTTTTTCCCCGGTGGATGGGGGAATGGGGGTGTTTTTGTTGGGAAACATTAACCCTCCTCACGTTCCTTGTTTTGTGAGGAAAAAAAGCTATGGGTGAATTAAAAGAAAGTAAAAGAAGGTATCGGTGAATGCAGGGAAACTATTGATGAATGTGAAAGAAACTATTGATTAATTTGAAAGAAACTATTGATTAATATGAAAGAAACTATTGATTAATTTGAAAGAAACTTGATTAATTTGAAAGAAACTTGATTAATTTGAAAAAAACTATTGATTAATTTGAAAGAAACTATAGGTGAATTGTCAAAATTTGTTGACTCTGTGGTGTCTGGAGTGCTGTACGTTTAAAAATCCAAGTACAGATTTACTACTGCAAAAATGGACAGGTCTTTAGTTGGTTGTTGCCCTGTGCTTCTAGTTGGTCCTATGTCCTTTTTTTTTTTCTTTTCTCTGTTTTTTTTTTCTGTCTGTCCTTTCCTTGCTGTTAGTGGCTCTTTAGTCAGTGAACGTCTCTGTCCTAATCCTTAATATCGTCATTTTTCTTCTACTACTGCTTTTGTATATTTGTCACTCTCTTGTTAATTGGTATTTCCAGGGTGTCTAAATAGTCGAAGCAGACTTTGTCTCTCCTCCTTTTTTGTGGGATTTTTACTCTCTTGTAACACCTCGGATCTCCAGCACTTATATGACCTTATTGTGTTCTAAGTACTTATAAGGTACTTACTAAAACTTTTTAAAAGGAACCAATGACTGAACATTTCAGACGAGATGCTGAGTTCTTCTGCAAGATCTGCAACAACGACCTGACAGTTCCGTGGAAGTACCACAGTGTGTCCCACATTCACAGGGTAAGAATTGTGTCATGACCTGGTGGAATCAGCTTTTTGGGCACATGAAGTTATTGGTTCATTTGCCTTGCTTTCGGTGGAAAAAAATTTTTTTTCTAGGGTACAAGTTGAGATATTGGTGATTGAAGGAGATGGGGGTCACCTGGTTTCAGAGGTAAAAATTTGCTTAAAAATGGCTGCCGAAGCTTAGTCCATGAAAACTTTAAAATTAAATGTTTTATGCCTTTATTCAGCATGTTCTTTAATGGGCATGAAAGGTGTCAGGACATAAGACAAAAATTTCTTTTTAAAATTCCCAAACCTGCCAGTTTCTTCACTTTCATTATTTTGACGAGCACCTGATTTCACCACGCTGCTTCATAATTTTATTTTTATAGTTTTTGCAGCCTACTCAATAGCAGGTGTCAGATGCTATTTCAGGACGACCCTGGAGTGTAATTCTTTATACAATGCACAATTTGGGGTGGGAACTAATTTGATAGTTTTTATGTGTACATGTTTCTTCTGGCGGTTCCTGTTCAGCGACTTGTATAGTGCAATTGTGTTTGGTGTGGGTGTGTTAGAACACACTGGCATGCTTTCAAGAAGTGGAATGTTTTGCATTCCTTTTTTGTTCCTTTGAGTTCTCCAGCCTGATATATATTTTCTTTTGAGTGGAATTGAATGTGGTACAAAAATGTAACAAGTTATAGTACGGTAATAAATGTTTAGTTTTCTTTAGTTGCATTTCATTTGGATGTCTGGTTTCATTAGGTTTCTTTTTGGCTCTCTAACATTGTTGAAATTTCGAGCCAAGAAGTTACAGAACTGTCAGAACAAGCTACCGTCTCGTGATACACTTTTCACTTGGGTGGTTGGCGGGTGCTCTGGTGTGATTTGCTCCTTCTTTCTTATCAGACACCTGTCGTCCTGATCTCTCCTCCTTCTTTTTTGTGTTTGTTACTCTCTTGTAACATCTCTAATCTTTGGCCCTTTTAAGACCTTATTGTGTTGCAAGGGCCGTAAAACTTACTAAAACAAAACTAAAGACTTTCCTATTATTTACTGAGGAATTTCTTCTCTCCAGCAACGCTTGCTGCAGGTGCGCAGAGGCTGTGGGTGGTGCAACGTTCACGACTTCAACAACTTCACTGAAGTCTTGGAGCACCGTGAGACGGACCAGCACAAGAAAGTATGGGGCTGGATGAGATCCGCACTAGTTTGTTTTTAAGTGGGTGGGTTGGTGGGGGGGGAGGTTGTTATCGTACAACTGTTGAGATTGTTTAAGGGCGACCACTCTTTGTTGAGGAGAAAAGTGACCATCTTAGACAGGTGGATGTCTTACACAGTGTCATAATAATGTATTTTTAAAAAACTGGGTGGGGGAGATTGGGAAATGGCTGTTTGTACAGGTGACTGTCCTATGCAGGTGGCTGTATTTCAGAACCTGGCAAGACGATTGTTTGGTTTTTTTGACTGAATGCATCATTTATTTGGCTCAGCGTTTCGGTGTTTTGCGCTCTGTGGACCTTATTTCTTTGAAACAGCTTTGTTAATATGGAAAAATCTCCCCCCCAAAATGGTCCAATTAAGAAATTATGTAAAATTAGTATCATAAAGTTAGGTTCAGATTTTGTAATCTTGTTTTATAAAGTTGAAATAAAAGTATTTTTGTCTTGCTTTCTGCGTCTATGAGCTTCCATGTGTCGTTTTTATGATCACTGGGCTATTGTTTTTGTCTGTTTTAATTCCAGAATGCAGAGCTCTACGGCAAAAAAGATGACAAGAAAGGGTCACGCCCAAGGAATGATGACCGAAATGCTGAGGTGTGTATTTGATACAGGCCACTTCAAGGATTTGTAAATTTCATAGCTGCCACTTTCCCGCTAAATAGCGGAAACTTCGCTTCATTTAGCCTTTCCCGCTACTTTCCTCCTTCCTCCGCTGGACCGCTTTTTAAAATTTTTACACGCGGAAAATACCGAACTGGGAGAGAGACGAAAACGCAGCTTGCACATGTCCGCCGGTATCTTTCTACTTCCGTTCATCTTGGTCTAGCGCTAGTTTCACTTTGTTTCTTGTGGAGCAACACTGTCGATCGAGCATCGGGACGTTGGCGCGTCGAGTTTTCATTGAAAACAGCGGAAATTCGAGAGAAATTGATGCAGAATGCAAAAATAAAAGGAGCTGGAATGAGAAAGAAGCAGCCGGTGTGCAACTTGAAAAGTTCATTATTCATTAGAAAGTTGAACAAGCCGCTTGCTGCACTTTGCGTTTGGTGCAATAAAGAAATCGCGGCCCGCGCACTCCTGTACAATTGCGGTCCCGTTTTTTTTACATGGCGGCTATTGTGGCTGTGGAAGTGAATCTAGATCTAGATAATCTATCTCTAGATATAATGTAGATTTATACATATTTAGATACCGTATCTAGATTCTAGATCTAGATTAGATAGCCTAGGCTATAATTTTAATTCAGTTTAGATCTACACACTACAGGGGCACTACTAAGTTAAGTGCAAACGGGACCGCAATTGTACAGGAGTGCCGAAATCACTTTGTATGACGGCAAAGGTGTTGCCCCCTTGATCTAATACTGCTCTTCGTGGATGCACAAGTTTAAAGTGAAAGAAATCTTTTTATGAGACACCAGCTGGCAACAAACACTGGATTTTAAGTCACCAAGTCCAAACTGTGTCAAATGCTTGTTAGTCAACTTAGTGCCTTTGTTTTGTTTTGTTTTTTGTTTTTTTTTCAAATACCTTTTTAATTCAGTTGCCTATGGTTAACAAATATGACAGTTTTCCCTTCCATGACAGTTTTCCCTTCCAAACCCATGGGTTGGATTTTCCAGTACATTATTATTGCCTCTGGATCTCACCGGCTTTACTCCCGGTCTTCGGAGAGCGCGTGCCCGCCTTCGCGTGAGTTTCCTCCTTTTTTAAAATTCCTGAGTGGCAGCTATGGAATTTAGATACTGTATTGACTAACTTTTTTTTTTTTCTGTTGCAAATGTGTGTTGTGTAGTGCCCAGAATTTACATGTCCTGTAGTATAAAAAATGCACTTTGAGAGGCTATCAGAGAATCGTGGATTTGTTTCTTATATTGAAAGCATGGAACGTAGTGATGGTGATTGTCCTGGCGTAGGTGTGGGCCATGGCTCTGTGATATGCTCGCTCCTATTGTAGGTTGTTGTTTCCTTCTTCCAGCAAAGCTCATATGCACTTCTTTTTCTTTTTTCTTTTTTTTCTTAACTCCTTTAGTGGCACAGATCGTCCAAGACTTCGTCCCAATATGAGAAGAAGGGAAACGGTAAAATGCAGAAGGTAATACTATGCCTATTTGCTTCCTAAGAAGACGTTGAATGTATGTAGCCAGAGATGTAAAAAGCACAGTGGAAGATTGTTTCTCAACTGGGCTTTCAGTTTCGTGTTGTGTGTCCCCCTGTGCACAATGTTATAGAGATAACCTGGATGGTCTAGTCTCAGGAGGAAGCTCCTTCCCTCTCTTTTTTTGTGCATGCCTTCAAGAGCCAGAACTATTGTTGAAAATGTCTTTACCCTAAACAGATGTGACTCCAGTCATCAGTATGGAAGATAAGAAACGAAAATCTCTTCCAGGCAGGCCTCTGTCTCAAGCAGGATATGCTTTGAAGCCCTTTGTTGATTGTTTTAAAAACATGACTGAGAAATTTACGGTCTTAAGCTCTTAACCTTGTGAGTCTGTTCAGTGGAACTTTTTGAAATCCAGTATTTCACCTTTGACCTGTTACTGTGATATTCAGTTTTTCTCAGTGGCAATGGCTTTGAAGCCCTTTGTTGATTGATTATAAGACATGACCAAGATATTTAACGTCTTAACCTTGTGAGTCAGTTTAATGGAACTTTTTTGAAATCCAGTATTTGACCTTTGCCTTGTGACTAATATTATTCAATTTTTCTTAGTGCCAATGGCTTACTACTTACTGTTTCCACAAGCTTTGAGTTTTGTCTTGGCACCACCATAAAGACAGCATACCTTTCTGAGTAGTCTGGTTTTTCCTTTCTCATTCACAGTACTGTGGGAATGATGTCCGTTTAGTTTTCAAATTTAGTGAGTGTACGCCATCTGCAAACACTCCTCGTTTGAATTGTAGATTATGTTCGTGTGGTAGCCATGGATTTGCTGGAAACCGCTTCCCGTAAATTTCTACAGATAAAAAAATTTATGCAAAAAAAGTGTTGGTCAATGTAGCTTTACAGCTTTCTTGCATTTTACAGCGTGCAGAGTGACTTCATGCAGTGGCATCTTTGAGACAACACTCGCACATACACACACACACTTTTGTACAGTCAAACCTGTGTAAGACGGCACCCATTGTCAAGGAGAAAAGTGGCCGTATAAGACAGGTGGCCGTCCTAGGCAGGACTGATCAAGATGAAAAAAGCAAACCATTCCCATTGTTGTTGTTCTTGTTGTTGTTGGTTTGTATTTTATTTGTTATTTTTATTCTATTGCTGATTTTGCGCAAGGGTGACAATAAAATGAAATGTATCAAACGAGGAAGACCGAGTGCCATGTTAAAACAAACACATGGGTCGCCACCACTTGGAGAACAAGCGACGCTTCTATTTCAAGCTCATGTTGACGTCCTTTGTTACTTTGTTACAGACTGGGTAAACAGTGACCACTCATCTCACTTACGATTTGTGTACGAGTTCTGGGCGGTTCTTATGAGTTATAAGGGGATCACACGCTTACCTCTCCAGCAGCTGGTACCTATTGGTCAACAGTGGGAGGGGCCTACGCAACATGATCGGTTGGAGGGACTACCTAACAACGATAAATGATTGGATTATGACGCCTGTCCACAACGCCAGGGGTCAGTGCACAATTTATGACAAAACGTAATGGAGTCGCCGATGGCCGTCTTAGACAGGTGTTATTGCTTAGTGTAATAGGGGTTGTGTGTTAAAATATGGTGGCCGCGGCCGCGTTGGACAGGTGCCCGTTTTACACAGTTAAAGTATATAGAAAAAACGCAAGGGGGGAAATGGAAAGTGGCCGTTTGTACAGGTGGCCGTCAGGGCAGGTTCGACTGTATTTCTCTTTTATTATTTGGAATTGACTCCTTAATGGTATACTAGCCAGATCTGCTTTTCCTCATAGTAGCAGAAAGTGGAAATGGAAAAGAGAAAAAAAATAAGGCTTTATGTCACAAACAATTCTGTTTTCTTCCCCTTTAACAGAAGACAAAGCCAGAAGAGGAAGTGGTGGTGATTCCAGAATATGACCCCCAAACTCCAATTGGTAAGTACTCGTCCTTTTTTTTTAGCTTGTGTTTGAAGTCATGCCTTTTTTGCATGGTGAGTGTGTTTTGTGAAGTTGGACATCAAAATGTCATCTTCATTCTTCTTTTTATACCCCCGCTAAAGCTCAGGGACTGTAAGATCTTCGTCATCTCGCAGTGCGCAATTTTCAACATTTCTCAATTTTCATTATGGCTAATGTCATGATGACTTTTAGCCTCTCGCACCAAAGTAGAGTACAGGCCCACCTATTTGCACCTTCTTGACCTAGGGCACTACATTTGGGGTCACAGTGTGGTTGCGTTATTTTATTTCTTACGGTAACAGGAAATGACAGGCTGTGATGCTAAGTAAACGCTATTTAGTCCAAGATCCGACTGCTCTGGCAAAAACTCTTTAATTTTTAGACCTAGGCCTGTCATGAAAGGATGTGAGTGTTATTTCATTGTGTGAGAGACGGCTCCACTCATTGATGAGTTCTCAGAGTTTCAAATCGAGTCCCCTCCCCCTCACCATTGGTTTTGACATTTTTTAAATTTTTATCCGTAATCTTTTCTGAAATTTCTTATTTTTTAAATCCATCATTTGTTTTCTGTTAATTTCATATTAGTTGTGTCTATTTAAGTTGTTGTTTTTTTTTTTTGCCATTGCCACTGCCTAAGTTTTCAGTAATTTTAACAGAAGTCCAGTGGCATCCCTGTTCTCTATTTTTTAATGCTTATTGTGAACGTATGTGGAAAGCGTAAGAAGGGGAGACCAAAGATGACATGGAGGCGAGCGGTACAAGCGGAAATTGAAAAAGCGGGGACATCATGGAAACAAATAGAAAAGGATGCTCAGGACAGGCTTCGCTGGAGTAATGTTGTTGATGGCCTGTGCTCCACTGAGAGTTAAAAAGGGCAAGAGAGAGAGAATGAACGTATGTCTATGTTCTAAGGCACCAACCTGTCTCAAATGGTCATTCCTGATAGACTGTGTAGGTGGTTTGCGAGTGCTCTGGTGTGCTTTGCTCCTTTTCTGCTGTCAAACAGCTATCGTCCTTGTCTCTCCTCCTCCTTGTCTTTGTATGATACCCTCTACTAACACCTCAAGTGTTGCAAGTGCTGCAAAACTCTTTATGAAAATTATATTTTCAGTTGTTCAAATGTATGTTTCACTGTGTTCAACTCAGGTCAGAACTACGTGGTTCCTGTGACCGGATTCTTCTGCAAACTTTGCCACAAGTTTTACTGCAACGAGAAGTCGGCCAAGGTTACTCACTGTCAGAGCGAGGCGCACTATGAAAAAGTCAAGGTAAGACCTGAGTGACAGATGTTTGCCCCTGACTTCATGATAAAAGGGCGAGGAAGCAGAACATCAGGTCTGCAGAGTCGGATGGGTATCTGTCTTTTTTCTTACTTTTTTTCTTTTAAATTAGTGTGGGGAAATAATGAGTTAACAGGTGCCTGTAGTGTAGCAGTTGTGCGCTTTGCTGTCGCACACAGGAGGCCCAAGCTCAATTCCGTGGAGGGTGAATTTTAATCGAGTATCTGGGAGGTCTTTCTGCGGGGATGATGTATCCCTTCCCTCTCAGCCCTGGTTGGTCCCAACAAGCAGGTCCAAAGGTTGCTGCATTCTTATCGTAAATGATCAAAACTTTGTTGTGGTGATTTTTTTGTTTTAATTTGAGGGGGTGGGGGGGTGAGTGTTTGTAATAACACCTGTACTTAACGAAATAAAAAAAGATCAGTTGTCTAATCTTTTATTATTATTGTTTGCTTTTCAACAGGCGGCACTGGAGGCTAAGAATGCTGCTATTGAAAAGAGAAAGGCCGAAACGGAAGCGAAGAAAGCTGCGGAGAAGGCGGAAAAGAAAGGAAGCAAGGGGGACAAGAGCGAGAAGACGGATACTTCAGATGCCCCTGAAGATGGTGTGGAGGTGGAGGAGGAGGAGGAGGGAGGAGAAGAAGAGGAGGAGGAGGAGGGAGGAGAAGAAGAGGAGGAGGAGGAAGAAGACTACGACAGTGCCTTGGCCCCGGGCGATGCTAAGGGAGAGGAAGAGGGGGATGAGTTTGACGACAAGGAACTGTCTGACGACGAGGCCATGGACGACGGCGATCAGGAAGGAGGGTCTTTCCTGGACGAGACGGGAGCCAACTCCAGCTTTGACTTCCTGTCCGGTGACATGGCCCAGGCACACCTAGAGCTGCAGCGGCAAGAAGAGCTGTTACAGCAGCCGCAGCAGGGGCAGGAGGAGGAGGAGGAGGTCGAGCAGGGAGGTACATGTTGTGTGTGTTGAGTTGATCTCTGGGGTAACATCTCAAGCAGGGAGGTACGTGTTGTGTGTGTTGAGTTGATCTCTGGGGTAACATCTCAAGCAGGGAGGTAGGGGCTGTTGATCTATCGGGTAACATCTAGTCTGAGGTCGAGCAGGGAGGTAGGTGTTGTGTATCATAGTATGTTGTGTTGATCTATGGGGTGACATCTCAAGCAGGGAGGTAGGATCTGCGTATGTTGTGTTGATCTATGGGGTAACATCTCAAGCAGGGAGGTAGGATCTGTTTATGTGGCAACATCTCAGTCAGAGGTCGAGCAGGGAGGAAGGTGTTGTGTTGATCTATGGGGGTGACATCATCTCTGTCAATGGTTAAACTGGAAGGTAGGATAGGTTTATGTGGTAACAATTAGAGGTCAAGCAGGGAGGTAGGATCTTTTTATGTGGCAACATCTCAGTCAGAAGTGGAGCAGGGAGGAAGGTGTTGTTGAGTTAACTGTTAGGCGGTGATACATAGTAAGGAGGTAGGTGCTGGCGAGTTTTGCGGTGAAATATGTTTATGTTGTGTTGATTTATGCAGGGCTAATAAACATTACGAATTTGCTAGTTTTGTTATAATCTTTATTCAATTTGACCCAAAAAAAAGATCTTAATACCCCTGATTCCAATTTTTAAAAACATTTTGGCTAAGCCAACCCACTGCCAAATTTTTCGGTGTGTAAAGTTAAGGGAGGGGGGGGGGGGAGAAAAACAACCAGATGTTGGAGGTCTACGTCAGTAAGTCGCATGCAGCTGTCTGACTTGAACAGTATTAACACCGTCTTTATAGTTGCTCAGTACTACTTTGCCCTTGGAAAGACATTAGACTTTAGTAGTGCCAAAGCCAGGAGCAAGGTCTATCACGCACAGAGCGAAATGTTTCTGTTATGTACAAATTCGGGATATGTACAAAATTCAGGCTTTATCAAGGAAGAAAACAAAGTTGGACAATGGGGTCAAAATTGTTCATGGATTGTGCCCCCTATTTCCCTAAAAATTAATACCAATGGTATTCTTTATATGTAACTTTGTAGGTACACCTCCAATCTTTGGCTCTTATATGACCTATTTGTTTTTTGTGTCGCAAGTGCTTTAAAACTCTTACTAAAACTAAACCACCCTAATCTTCAGCACTTGTATGACCTATTTGTATTGCAAGCTGTGTAAAAGTTTTTCTAAACTACAAAAAAAAACCTCGACAAACCTCCATCTATCCGTCCGTCTGTTTTCAGAAGAAAATGGCAGCATCTCGGCGAGCGAGGAAGCTGAAGCTCCATCGGGAGTTGATGGTGCAGAGGCTGAGGCTCACTTGGAGGGAGAGGTAGAGGCCACAGTGGAGGAAGGAGAGCCAGAGACAACAGAGCCAGCGACGACAGAGCCCGTGGAACCTGCTGAGCCAGCCAAGCCCGAAAAGGTGGAAGTCGTAAAGGAGGAGGTCGTAAAGGAGAAGGTCGTAAATGCGGAGTCCGCGGAGGTGGAGCCCGTAGTGGCAGAGCCTGTAGAGGCAGAGCCCATAGAGGCAGAGCCCGTAGAGGCAGAGCCTGTAGAGCCGCCAGTTGTGGTCAAGGCCACGCCCGCCAAGGCCCGCGGCACTGCCCGCAGAGGGAGGGGACGTGGGAAGGCCAAGAAGTAAACGTGGGTGGGGTGTGGAGAAGAGAAGTGTACGTGCGCGGTGGAGAGGGAGATGTGTACGTGCGCGGTGGAGAGGGAGAAGTGTACGTGCGCGGTGGAGAGGGAGAAGTGTTCGCGCGGTGGAGAGGGAGAAGTGTACGTGCGCGGTGGAGAGGGAGAAGTGTTCGCGCGGTGGAGAGGGAGATGTGTACGTGCGCGGTGGAGAGGGAGAAGTGTTCGCGCGGTGGTGCCCTGAGAAGTGACTGTGGTGGTGCACTGACATGTAAACGTGGTGCTCCAAGAAGCAAACGCGGTGCACTCTAAGATGTGGAGATGGTGGTGCGCTGTCTATTTAGTCTTAATGACACATGTCCTCCGATTTTTGTTGTCCTCCGTCACTGAACAATTTTTGCTCTTGTTGTTTTGTATAATATAATCTACATCATTCTTTTTGGGGTGGGCGGCGCCACTGGATCCCACTCCCTTTCTTTCCTTACGTTGTTTTTTTACGGTTCGTCTTACACTTTTCCCTAATCGACTACAAAGCACTAAATGACTATTATTTTTTCAGCCGTTTTGGGGGGGGGGGGGGGGGCAGGGGGTGTCAAAATGAGAGTTCTTTTGTTGTTGAAAACAATGTGAAAAGATGTCAGCATGTAGTCTGGGTCTGTGTTCGTTATGTGGGTGTCGCTGAGAAAGTTTGTTCCTCACAGGCTACATCTGCCGCATGTTCTAATAGAATGTTGAGTATGGAGCAGGGGGGCAAAGGGTTGTTTTTTACTCTCAGTCATGAAAGTAAGATTGATAAAAGAGTCTTTTTTGTTATTTTTAAATTTTTACCATTGTGGTTGACTTGCATCTGTGGTGTAGTGGGTGGGCGTTTCGGGGTCGCACGTGGGAGACTTGAGTTCAATTCCCTTGTGGGGGAGAATAAAAAAAAAAATCAAGTATCTCCATCATTCTGTTGGGATGCCGTGTCCTTCTCAGCCCTCGTTGGCTCTTACGGGCGGGGTCAGAGCAGCCTTCTTTCTAAATGACCTAAAATTGTGTCGATGTGTGCGGGGGAGAAACTTCTGTAATGGCTTTGTTGTTTCCCACTGTTGTTGAAAATGATTTTTTGGTGATGGCTAGTCACTGCTGGTCTGTCCTTTCTGTGTGTATTTGTGTTGTTGCTTTTCTTGTTGGAGGGGGAATGGGATGTTTGTTTTGTTGTTTTATCCATTGAAATAATTTTATACCTATATATCGCTACCTCAGTGCTTTCCTGTCGTATCTCCATTTTCAAAAAGTGAAAACAGTTCCTAACAAAGACTGAGCTCAAGAAGTCACATTTTCACTGTTTACGTTTACTAGAAATGGAGATACGACAAGAAAGCACTGAGGTCGTGATATGGTGTTGATGTGGCACATTTCGTAACATCATCCCATTTGACTTTCTCTTTCCCCCCCAGTTCAACAGTGTCTCACTGTATATATTTTAATACTTGCCACAGATATCAATATTTTTGTCACTTTCTTCGATGACTGGTTGGTGGAATTTTAAGTAGGGACGGGTGGTTGAGGACGCCACTGGTAGGTCCTTCAAATTCTTTGCTACCCCTCTGTATGTCTGTCTGTCTTGATTTTTCCTTTGCACATTATGACCATTATCATTATGTTGTTGTGCTAATCATTCTTCAAGAAAATTTGATGAAGATTTTCCTAACGTCTTACTGAGGGTTGATTAATGTGAAAATTTTTAACTGCAACTGCTGTTGGGCTTGAGTCCATATAATGATAAAGAATGGTTTTATGAGGTGTTTTTCTTTCTTTTCTTTTTCTTCCTCCCCCCCCCCCCCCCCT